GGTAGAGATAGGAGAGATGAAATGGAATAAATTAGGTTTTGGTTGGGTTTTATATTTAAATAAAGTTGGTGGGGTAGGTAGTAGGGTGGGTATATATTTAATTTAATTTAAAAATATTATTATTAATATTAATTGTAAAATTAAAACCTGATTTTTGATTAAATAAAGTAAAAACCTGATTTTTTTAAAATTCAAAACTAAACAACTGGTTTAGTGTAATTTCCACTTGTTTTTGTTCATTTTGACCTCTCAATTTTTTTTTGTTGCATTTTTATTTTTAGCCCCCGTTTGATCTACATTATTATCTCATTAAAATAAAAAATATGACCGTTATCCATCACATCAACTTTTAAATTCAAATTTTCTATCTTTTGTGTGGATCCCAATAACGACTATATTTTTCATTCTCATTTTATAATAATTTGGCTCAAACAAGGTAATATGTAATTAATAAGCATATTTTGTCCCTGTCGGTCAAAAAAATAAAATTTAGAAAGGATAAAAAGATTTATTTTCCCCTCATATTTTTAAATAAGCAAGATAAATAATAAATACAAAATTTTTTAAAAATATTGTCCCACGCCAACAAAATATTTGAACTGAAATTGTCGTTAGAGACAAAATGTGCCTATTAATTGAAGGTCAAAGACGAGGATGCGAAAGTTGGTGACATACTAGTCAGAATGGAAAAAAAAATTGGACACTTTAGTTGCAATTAAATTATGACGAATTTAACAATAATGTGATATAATTATATTATGAATATGTTTTTAATTTAAAATACTTGATCTTTTATTATAGAAACTTAAAAACATGGTTCATCGATCAATCAAGAGTCTATGTGCTATGGCTCATACTAATCACCATTTGAACGTGCAATTAATTTTTTCCATTTGAGAAAACTGGTAGGTCCACAATTTTATTTTTTATTATTTTTTTTAAATGTTATGTTTTTTTGAAATGGTGGGCCCACGAATTAGAATTTCCTTGCAAGTTGCAACCATATATGATGATCATTTAAGGAAAATTTACAAGTTGGTGGCGTCAAGACTACGCCCCTATTTGATTTTGCTGAAAAACATGTTTTTAATTAATTTTGATAAAAGTTGAATAAATATATAATTGAAAAGTAACAAAATTGTGGGTCCTTTAAAATTTGTGACTAAAGTTAACTATTAATTTTTATTTTTATTTTTATTATACTTTTTTTATTATCTCCATTTTTTTAAATTTAATCTGCTCATTATCCGAACATTGTTGAATATAAATTTGACGGGTGTGACAACATCGACGATATTATGAAATGTCTAAATCAAGAGAACTAATAACACGAAACAAGAATCAAATGTAAGTACATGATTTTAAATCCTACGTTATCAATACAAGAACTGCTTTCATTTAACGCAGCATGATTTTAATATATCAAAAATAATAATGATTTAGTCATTTTTCGTTTACACATAAAAGAAGATCTTCTAGAAAGATTCATCCGTGATCAAGAAGAAAAATAAACAGTGTAATTAAAATTCACGTGTTAAAAGATGATCGACAAGTGCCCTAGCTATATTATCTTTAAAAATCTCATTAGATTCTTTCATAATAATTTGGTTAAGCAAGGAAGATTGGTCAATAAGAAAATCTTTCAACTTTGGTGATATGATATGGTCACATTTGCCTTTTCAAAGTCAAAATTTAACAAATCCAAAGAAATCTATTAGTCCATACAAACTTGAGGAAAATTGGGGGAGAAAAAGACACACGCCTTGCTTTGTCTAATGTTCATTCGATTGTGAAATTTTTCAATAAGATTCTTCAAGTTGCAAATTACTTGTCAATCGCTTTCATTAGGGTTTTAGCATTACTAGGAAATTGCATTTTGAAAAGATTTTTTGAATGGAAAATTGATTAGCGTACGAGTCTTTCTTTTATAAATACAGTATAGTTACCTGATATAGGAGTTGGAGTTACAGAAAAGTTTCTTACATTTGGGTTAGCAACGAAATGAGAGCAAAGCCTTAGTTTTTATGAAAACATGATAATGTAGAATTTATTAACAATTTTTGAGTTTTTGTTCATTCGCTTAATCGCTTATAAGCATTTGCCTAGAAAATGGACCACACAAATTGAGCCGTTGATCAAAACAAAGTAGTCCTACTCTTTCAGGCATCATGAAAATAGACCACACAAATTGGAAAAATAGACATCCACTCATAATCATGACAATCCAAATGCACTAAGTGAAGCTCTATCAAGGGAGCCATATATCTCGGGTAAAGTCAAGCATGCTTGAAATAACAAGATTTTATCTATTTTTCAAACTGCTAACCAATCGCTTGCTTCGACGTCTCTATTTGCTAGTGGCGACATTTTTGTTTAATTTTCAAATTCTAGACTTCAATGTTACACATTTTATTGCAATTCTTACGTGACAATAACACCATTTTTTTGTTATGTTTATCTCGTATTTCAACCCATAGATCAAACATTCTACAACTTTTCAAGAAATTTATTGTACTAAAACCCTAAATAACTGCCATGATTATCAAGATTTGTTTGGTCACAGCATGATCATCATCGTCGTGATGAAGATAAATTTGGAGAAGTCAACACGTAGCAGACAAAAAGTAGGGCCCAAATCAGTATTATATCACTCGAGTGTGAAAAAGAGAAACTTTGAACAGTCTTAATTTATGTTAAAACAAATCCTTTCCTTAATCTCTGCTTTAAAATTAGGAAACCCCTCTGTCACGACACATAATTCTGTAGAAACCACATTTCACATCACGAGACTAGCAACTTTGGGGGCCACAAAAGATTTGTATATTTCCAAATGACCCCACAAGATTTTCAAATATTTTCTCGTGGGTCCCTAATCTTGGATCTTTCTTTATATCATGTCTTCATAGTATAATTACCTAACATTGTTCCCTTGATTTTTCAATTTCCAAATCCAATCCTAAATTTTAATGTTTAGACTACATGGTTGAAGCTCAATGTTCCAAGTCAATATTTTGATTAAAAAAATTGTATGTGACGAAGCATGCTGAATATAAAATATCGATAATTAAATTTCTTATCTCTATGAAAAATAATGTGATTAAGATGAAAGATACACCAATATATATCATGCACGGGTGCCTACTCATTCTCCTCGAAAGAGTATGTGTCAATTTACAAGTTCTACCATAACGTCTTGATTATAAATTATAATTGTGAGTTAGTCGTAGAAACAAGGTAAAATTAAATTGATCTTTAATTTAACAATTTTCTCAATAAAAAATAAAATAAATTTTCTCAATAATTTTTTTTTTTAAGAGATCAAGTGATTTCACCACTCCCATGTCACTCTATCACTAGTTAGTAGTTACATTAAATGCAATTTTCTCCATTCTTTTTTGGCATGCAAAGTTGATGTGAATTCATAAATAATAATACCTAAGAAAAAAAATGAGTCATGTTTACTTATAAGTAAATTTTAAATTACGAACTTTTTTACTCATCAAAGTTAAAGTTAAAATAAATAATAAATAATTTCAAGTAAGGCATATATCCCAACAAATTTTAAAAACAAAAGGTTACTTAAAAATAATTTGTGCTTTTTTTTTTTTCAAATCTTCAACAAACATGCATGCTTAGGTCGTGTGCATTTTGAGCTAAAGCAATTTCTTAATTTGGTAGTTAATCACTTTCCCAAGTCATCACCAAATCAAATTAAGATTAGTGTGTTAGACAAAATGAGCACAAAGATCTTGTTGATTTTCCTTGAAATGCAATCCCAAAATCCTTTGGCAATCAACCCTAAATCCAAAAAAAGGGGTGAAAATTGAAAAAAGCAATGCACATGAGATCCAAAAGAAAGAAAAGAAAATAAAGTGAGGGTCCCACAGGTGGAAGGAGTGGAGGAAACCACCATAAGTAGTTGTACCAACACGGTGTTTGAATGAAGACAACCTAGGTGAAAAACACGAGATGTACAATATTTTCTGCACACGCAGATTTTTGCTTACCAACTACTTAATATAAGAACCTGCGAACAAATAGAGCATGCATACACATTACACCACTGAAAGTTGAAATATTGATCAATAAATTTTAAGGGTTTTTTTTTTATTTTTTTTCCATTTTAGAGAGCATATGGATTTAAATTCAGAAGCTGATGAGGATATAAAAAATGTGCAAGAAGAAGAAGAAGAGGTAAAACAGCATTTTCATGTATTGGCAGTTGATGATAGTAATATTGATAGAAAGCTCTTGGAAAGGCTTCTTACTGTTTCTTCTTACCAAGGTACGAGGCTCGATTGTCAATACTTTCCAGTCGATCTAACCAAACATACTTTTGTGTGGGCGGTTTGATTTACAGGTCTGTTCTTGTAATAATGCAGTTACATGTGTGGATTCTGGAGATAAGGCTTTAGAGTATCTGGGGTTGCTTGATATTCAAGAGAATGAATTTTCAAGAACATCACCAATTTCTTCTTGTTCATCCTGTCCATCCAAATCATCCCAGAAAGAGGTAAGAAATATACAATAAATAAAATAAAATAAAATATATTGACAATTAATTTCTTGAGGTGCGACTTTCACAATTTTATTCTAAAAGATTTCAGGTGATCCTTTTGTAAATCTTTTATGTTAATGTTGGGAATCCTTTACTTATTTCTTATGTTGCATTGTTGGTACGTCGATCTGCGGAAAGTTACATATTTTTGGAATTTAATCAAATTAATCAAATATTTTGGAGAAATCCCCATTCTTATTACATATACCTAAAGATTTTCAATCCCTATTTGGCTATTTCTGATACAAATATGTTTCAGGTGTCAAAAATTAACCTGATCATGACAGATTATAGTATGCCAGGAACTACTGGTTATGATTTGCTCAAAAGAGTCAAGGTTAGTCCCCCAAACACAAAACCTAATGATAGGTGCATTCGGTTCACAATAGTACTAGATTAGTTGACGTCGATATACTTACCTTCAAGAGTCTACCTTAGCAGCTATGTTCGGTGCGTCGAACTAGATATACATGATTGGACAAGACAACCTGCATGCTTTATTCAATATCGGTCGACTCAAGCATACCAAGAATGTCTTATCGTGCTAAATATAATAGCAGTTGTTAAAAATTTAATTAATTTTATGGGTTCTATAACAAAGTTTACAATGTCTCCATAGTGGAGAGAGAAAATTATTTTCCTTTTACTTTTAACTTAATTTATTTACCTTTTCACCATCTACTTATTGTTTTTCCTCTTTTTCAAATAACATGCTCTTAATTGTTGGAGATAAAGCAACAGAAAAAATTCACTTTAATTTAAAAAGTAATTAATTTTGAAAGAAAAGTTTGTAATAGTACAGAAGACACTGCAAAAAAATGAAATAGTTTTATACAAAATTATAATGTTTGGTCATCATGTTCTTTATGACTTTCTCAGTGGCCATGAAATTTCTCTGGTGCAGGGATCTTCTTGGAAAGATGTCCCAGTTGTAGTCATGTCATCCGAGAATATACCATCAAGAATTAACATGTAAATGCTCATGCTCAACTCTTCTTTCCCAATGAACTATATTTAATTTTACTACTTATTTAATTATTTCCTTGGGAAGTTGATTAATGGCACTACACCATTATGTAAAAGACGCATCAAAAGGGCTTTAAAGGGGCACTAGAACAAGAAATTTTAACATTCAAATTTTGTCTTGAATATTCTGTCGGCAATCATAATTCAACGAGTTTTAATAGACACATCAAGGAGCTTTAAATGCGTTACTAGTGAAAATAATAGACCAAACTAATATAGCATAACGTTGCTGCTCACCTATTAAGAATCTAGTTATTTTGAATCATTCTATAAATCTAGCAATAAAATGAGTGGAGTGATGAAAAAGAATTTAAGAGCTTCTTTAACGAGTTACGAGAGGGAGTAATAGAGCTGCTATGGATCTAGTTGTCTTTTATTTTTCCGTAAATCTAGCATTGAACTCAATGGAGGCACGATAAAAAGTTCAAGGATTTTAAACAAGCTCCAGATCAACTTACATAGAAATTTTTGAATCCCAAAAATTTTACGTTTTCCCAAGTGTGGTTTGTTTAGCTAATGAATACATGATAACACAATGAAAATTAACCTAATTTTTCAAGAAAAATGCGACTGGATGAAAGGTGGTTCAAACAAGATACAAACTAAATCGACTAGTTTATAATTCTAAATTAAGTTCTAGTAACCTAAAACTTGCCTTGAACTAGCTTTTTCTTGATTATCCGCTATGCATAGATTTTGCTGATACATCAATGTATTTGATTGTAATGAAACAGGTGCTTGGAAGAAGGAGCAGAAGAATTCCTGTTGAAACCTGTCAAATTAGCAGATCTAAGGAAACTACGTTCCCACCTCCTTAATACACCTAACATTCATGACACCATAATAGACAATGATCTCAACAACAATACTAACAAGAGGAAGGCTACATTACCAGAGCATTCAGACAGAAGAACCAGAATTCAAGAATTGCCTGTGTCCTAATATTTATTTATTTAATTTTTTTTTTCATGTACTGAATTGGTACTCATTCTAATTTAATAGTAATAGAATGATAGTATATGTTACAAGCAATTATGCATATAATTAATGCGCGAAAGATGAAACAAACCAGCATATAACATCGCTCTAGTAATAGCAATTACCAACATTTATTTAGCTATTCGCATCAAGCCTTGACTAAAGAGCACAAAAGAGTTAAGAATGTTAGCCTGAATAATACTAGCATTTGTATCCCAAACGAGATTCTTGCTTTTATTGTTAAATCTAATTCCAGGTATGGGAAAATGCGACAAGGGGGAAAGGAGAGGGGTTGGGAGGTTTTGAGGAGGATATCATCAATGAAGCCTTTCTTTCTCAGTTTCTTGAGAAGCCAAAATCATCCTTAGTTTGTTTACACGAAAGAGTCGCCAAAGATAATGATGCTCCACCTAGAAAAAGGAGAGAACCAATATTTCTACAACATGACAAGAATTAAAACCAAAAGCTCCTTTCCCGCACTGGACTTCAAAAGATTGAGAAAAGTAAATGCCTACACAAACTATTCGTATTTGAAATTGGGTTTTGCTATGCAGGGCCGGCCCTGGGAATTAAGAGGTCCTAGGCAACTAATTATTACGAGGCCCTTCAACATAATCATTTTTTGATAAGTGTAGCAAAATTTAAATCTTTCAATAATTAATACTTTTATATTAAAAACAAGATTTTATATAATTCAAAAGATAGAATAACTAATTCATTTAATCGATCTTGTGACATTGTTGATCGAAGATAAGATTTAATCAACAATATATCATTATATCAAATAACAATCTCTATCTAAAGCAATGAATTGATAAAAAGAAATCAGATGAAACCAAGAAATATTATATGATCAAACTCAGTCCAACTTCAAACATAGTCAAATATTGTCACAAAAAATCGGTCATCAAAAAGTTCAAAAAGATTGTCCCTCTTGCTTGGCTTAAGAACAGTGAAAATTGAGTTGATGGGATCACTTGTAGGTGCCATTTCTATAGGAAATAGAGTAAAATATGAGGAAAAACAGTGTCTTTAAAATTTCAGAAAGAAAAACCACTAAATAACCAAGAAGGAAATTTTCCAAGAAAGCTTATGTTTGACAAAATCATAAGCTAAGAATTTGGGAGGTGTTGTTTGAACTCTGAGCATGAAGGGAGATATATATAGGAGGGAAAACAGGAGGGAGAAGGGGATGAAAAATGAAAAAAGAAAAAGATAATAATATATAGAATCAAAAGCAAGCTAGAAGGGATATATCTTTTTCCTTTTTTTAGGAACCTAAAAACAAGAAAAACAAATGAAATTATTGGCTTCAATGGACAGCGACTTGGCAGAAATTCTTATACGTCAGAGGATGAGAAGCCAAAATCATCCTTAGTTAGTTTACACGAAAAGAGTCGCCAAAGATAATGATGCTCCACCTGCAAAAAGGAGAGAACCAATATTTCTACAACATGACAAGAATTAAAACCAAAAGCTCCTTTCCCGCACTGGACTTCAAAAGATTGAGAAAAGTAAATGCCTACACAAACTATTCGTATTTGAAATTTAGTTACCTAAATTACAGTCCCTCCCTCCTTGATTCAGGGTTCAGCAACTGTAGCTCGATTTTTACGAATAAAATATGTTAGATTTATATACTGTATTGGCAATTCTGTGAACAAAATGACAGAGACTAAATTGTAAAGTTTCATAATTGGTAGGTTAGCTTAGGGTTCGGAGTTTCATGTTTGGAACAAGAAGGATTCACGTCGATTTCTCGCTAGCTACTTGCCGGAATGATGCTCGAGCGGATGAAACAGAGACACCATCGCTCAACCTTCGCCCACATGTCGCTCAAGCAACATGCCCTTCGCTCAAGTGAAGTATACTCATTGCTCGAGTGATCATGTTTTTCGACCTGACCTAATTTTGTCGAGACTTTTTCTTGGCCCATTCAACCTAATTCGTCCAACATATAAATAGAGGCGTTGCGTTTTCTGCAAAGAGAGATTGAACACATTCTATTCAAGAGAGAATTCATCCTACACAAGATCAAAAGTTTAATCCTTCAATTCATATGCGCTCTACTCATTGAAAACATCAAAATCATCAAATCAAACACTGAATTGGATTCTTCGCTCATGTCTGATGCAAGATTGTTTCGTTAACTTGGTTACGTAGAAGATCAAGGAAGAATTTGAAAAACAATGAGTTCTTGGGGAAGATCTACAGAAGATAAATTGTGTAAAGAGTCAGGATTGGAGTTCGTGTGCTCATTCCAGCAGGATGACTACTTTACTAAGAAGAGCCAGGATTGGTATTGGTGTGTACATTCTAGGAGGGCTGCTTCAAATTTCAGACAGGAGATCAGAAAGTTCGTGTTGTCAACTTTACTGGCAGTTTGTAAGTTTTATCAACATTTATAGTGGATTTTTGATTGACAAAGTGCTCAAAGTTTTTCTCACATTGGGTTTCTCCGTGAACAATTCTAGTGTTTTTTATTGCTTTCTTTACTGTTTTGATTTTACTGCGGTATTTAAATATAAGAGAATCTGAATTGTTTGACTAATCACCTAGACATAATTAACTTGTGACTTGTTGCTTGTTAATTAAAGTGTTAATTCAGCATTTACACCTAATCACCCCCCTCTAGGTGTAGTAGGGTCGAATATTGCATTTCTCAATGTAACTTGTTGCATGTTAATTAAAGTGTTAATTCCACATTTTCACCTAATCACCCCCCTCCCCTCTAAGTATAGTAGGGTCGAATCATGCGTTTCTCAAAATCAATTATATCTTCCTTCGTTCTATCTCCTTCATACAGCAAAATATTTCCACTTGCTGTCTTGAAAAATAATGTTGGATATATAACCTTTAACGTCAATAGTCTCATTTGAGATATCATTTGCAGTATCATCCTACAAAAGAAGGAAAAGGAGAATATAGTTATATCTGAAGTTGAGTTTCAACGGAAAAATTAAGATCTGTATCACAAATATCAACAAGGAGACAAGATTAAATCAAGTGACATTTTAACCGTTGATAATTCTAGATGAATCAGATGTCTTTACAACTTTCTTATACTTCGATAATTCATGACTGATCAAAGTGCGAGGATGTATAAATAAAATTACAAGTCAAGTTGCAAATAAAATTATTACATATCTGTTTTTGCAGTTATGAGATTTGATGTCATGTTTATAGATTATACCTACTGGTGTTGAGTATTAACATATATATTTCAATCTACCATTTCATAGTACAGCTACTGATCTGCCATGACCTTTATGGTATGTTATGTGGAGAGGATACTAAGCCCGTGTTTAGTTAAGATAAAAATAAGATTTTTGGTAGATTTTATTAAAAGTTGATAAAATGTTTGGTTGAAAATGAGTTTGAAGAAAAAAGAATTTTAATTGGGTTGGCCGGTTGGGCCATTTGATTTTAAGCCGATAGTTAATTGGGAAGAATACATAAATAAGGTATTTACTTTTACCCATTTCAAAAATACCAAAACATGTTTCAAAATTCAAAAATCGGGTTTTTTTAAATTTTTAATTATGAAATAATAATGATTAAATTAATTTATTATTAATATTTAATTCTACTATAAAATAATTAACCCACCCCCACCTCCACCTCCCCTACAACTCCGAGAATATTCTGGCGACCTTTCCGGTCACCACTCTACTCCGACGACCGTTCCGGCGACTTTTCCGACGACTAATCCGATTCCGACGAATATGTTAAGGTCACAGATCTATACGATTTGGTCACAATTCAAAAAAATTTAGGTCACAATTCAAAATTTTCATAGGTCTTAATTTGTTCATCGGTCACAACTTAAAAATTTGAAAGTCACAATTTTTTCATCGATCACAAAATCACAAAATTTGTAAGTCACAATGGTCATAATTCAAAAATTTTAAGGTCACAATTCAAAAATTTTATAGGTCACGATTCGTTCATCGGTCACAAATTGAAAAGTTAAAAGTCACAATTGTTCATCGATCACGAATTACAAAAATTATAAGTCACACAACTTATTTTATGGTCACAGAACATCAAATTACAGGTCACATATTACTTTTATTGGTCACAAATTATTTCTATGTCACGGTTTATTATTTATTGGTACACACCAACTAATTTATTGGTCACAATCAACAAATGATTTGTGACCACCCCCAACACAACACCAATGTCGTCTCCGCCGCCAACACCAACACCACCATCACCTCCAAATTCACTACCAACGCCGACAACAAAATACACAGCCTCTACCCGACCAAAACCACCACAACTCCACCCGAACACGCCAAAACCGCCGCATCCTACACCATCGCCACCACAACCACCACCAACACCACCTCCAGCATCACACTCCACCACCAACTGTAGCGAGATCTGAATCTGTAGCCCCAGTCATCGCCGCCACCAACACCATCGCTAACACCATCACAACCATAACGAGACGACATAGATCTGGTTTTCCGGTGAGCGTATCTAGGATTGCGCATTCTCAGATCTCTTCCTCTCATGCTAGTACTATTTTCTTCGCCGAGTTCATCGTCGCCGGAGCCTTCCAAATCCACCAACGGCAGAAGAACCTGCAGCATCTGCAAGTGGGAAGACAGTTTCATGGGCCGAATCTTGCCATTAAGGAACAACTCCTCTGCAGAACTCATGGATCCATTTTCAGTCAACCCATTCGACGACAATCTTGAAGAAAACTCAAACTCGAAAGACGACCCAGATTCCGACGTTCTAAAAACTGGCGAGGGAGAAAAGGAAACTGAAGCCCCGACGTTTGAAGAAACGATGGTGGTGGTGCCAGCGATTTGAGGGAGAAGAGAGGTAGTGGTGGTGGTCGGTTGGAGTGGGGAGAGGGAGAGAGAGAGGGGGGGAATGAAAAAATTAGGGCTTGATTTGTGTAGGATTGATTTAAATAAAAAAAATCATTAAAAATTATTAATTAAAATCTGATTTATGTATTATTAAAGTTGATTCTGTATTTTTGAAAATGGTAATTTAAAAATCTTTGTGGGTGTAATTTCCTCTAGTTAATTATATAGGCCTAAACCATCCCTTTTCTTGGCCTTTTTTAATGGGTTGGGCCATTTATTCTTGGGCCCAATACTTAATAAATATAGATTCCAGTCCAGCAAATGCATTTGGTCTCATTTCCTCTTCAGCCTTCATGATGAAGAGATGCCGCTACGCCTCACGCCTGTCGTTCCGTCGCTGCCGAGTTCCACCACATCCTGGCTGTCCTCTCCACCAACATCGAGCACCAGTTTGAACGCTGCTGCGACCGGACGCCTTTGTCGACTCGCCGTGAGGCCCATGACTCGTGAGTTTTATCATTTCTGTTCTGCCCATCGTTTTTTTTGTTTTTGTTTTTCGTGTTATTATCTTTTTATGAGTTTTGAAATCATGATTTTGTGATAGTTTTCAGTTTGTTTGAAATATGATTTATGAATTGGAATTGAGGGAAATTGGAATTAGGGTTTAGGGTTTGGAATTGGAATTGGGGGGAAATGAAATTGGATTTGGAATTGGAATTGGATTTAGGGTTTGGAATTGGGGGAAAATAAAATTGGAATTGAAATTGAATTTGAATTTGGAATTGGATTTAGGATTTGGAATTGGGGGGATTGGAAATTTAGATATATATAATTTTTACGTTTTAGTGTGTGTACATATATATTGAACAATTTTTAATATTATATAATTAAATATTAATAAACAACATCGCTTTTACGATCGCTGATTGTCGATGTTGATTGGTCAATGTCTGCCCGGGCTGGACTTCGATGCTGGGTCCGCCACTGCTCCTTGGGTCAGGGAGACATTTTAGATAGAATTTTTTTCAACATTCTTCCTAGTCTTTCAGGACATTCAGGAAAATGCATAATCTATTTTCAAAAACTATGGAGTCCTTTGAACACCCATCTTTCAGAGGAACATCCTAGTACCTTTCAGCAACAAGAAGACACATAATCATGAAGAAAAACCTACTTTTCCAAGTTCCAAGTTGCAGAAGGAAATTATGTAAATGAAATTAGAGCTGAAATTTAATAAGCCCAGAGTGAATTAGACAGCAAACATATGTAGCCCCTATTAGAGCCCCAATTTTTGAGAATAAATTTTGTAAAAAGTGATTTTTTTTAAAAAAAAATAAAAAATTGCCGAACACGTGGTTAAAAAGTAGGAAAAGTTTTGGATTTACGTACAAAATTATTTTATTGGGAAAATGTATGGTTGAAAATGATTAAATGAGTTTGGGAAAATTAATTTTAAAGAATGGGGACCGAACGGGGGCCTAATTTTTGTAGGCATACACCGCGTGATGAATCGGCCACCGCATGAGAAGCAAAATATTTGTCCTTTAAAAGCTAGATCATTTACAATAAGAAATGCTAAATCATGTACAATGGCAGATAATAAATAGAGGAATAATAATGGTGCTATTTATATATTGCATAGAATTTCATTCTACAGCAAGAACATTCTGTACAAATTTAGCAATGGTCCTAAAATGATGAAAGAAGCTTTAGTTCACCTTGGCATTGCGGCTGCTGAAGAATTTGATAACAAAGGTATGCATTATCCTAATAAAACTGAAAAGAAATGTTATACCTGAAAATCTACGAGGAGTTCATCAAAAGGCTTGAATAGCCTAACAATTGGTCCAGCAACTGATGAGTCCCCCTGGGGAAGGAGCTTAGCATCCAAAGTATGACCAAACTCATAGTCAGAGAACGCAATCTTTCAGCCAAAATAGTGAAATTCTCAAACTTCTGCCCAGTAAATTCTGGGAACACTCCAACCTTTAACCCTAGAAGTTCGTGAATTGCAATATGAAGGTGAAAACTTTATAGGCTTGTAGCTCAATCAAAATTAGAAGCAACTGTGAAACCAGCCAACTGTTTGATACTTTGATGATATATTCAGCCAAGATGATACCTTCAGAGCTCAAAGCAATAATTTCTCTCAGGTTCATCTCTTTAATTTCTTATTAACGTGATGTTCTTCACTTCTTAATATTCAATTCGGCTACTGTTCTTCGTGGATGACTTTAATAAGTTTATTTTGCTGTTCTATAAGCACTTTGTAGCCATAAATTAATTATTGGAAATATTATTGTTAAAGTAATGATGATTCTACATGTCTTCGTGTGTGAAGATTGGGTTTTTATGGGGTGGGTGGGGTGGGTCATTGGGGAAAGGATTGTCGTTGGTAATATATGGGTTCATACTATATAAGAACTTTAGCTCATTTGAATATGTTGCTTATGAGTAATTAGAAATGACCTCAATTCGTTTTGCTGTATCGAATTGTACCTTTCTGTCAGTATGCTGCATGTTAGTGTATCTGGCAAGCTCACTCTGGCATATTGTTCATAGGATAATGATTAAGATAATAATGGTGAATGATTTTCTTTGCAGAGGCATGTTGGAAGCTCCTTCAAACGAATGATTCAGTAACATTGTAAATTAGACAAATTTGACGTGCTTGATTTTTCTAATTTTGATGGCGCAATCATTGATAGTAGTCACATATAAGGCTGCCTTAAGACTGAGTTTCGACAGAAATTTTGACTTCCTCCGCAAATTGAAGAGGCTTGAGGTATTGGGTGCGTGTAATTTCTTTCCCCATGGATTTTCTTCTATTGGCATTAAGCAGGAGAACTTATACCAGGAAAAATCATCTCCCTTGATTTTGCTAGGAAAGCTTGAAAGCTCTCTGAGAGAACACCAAGTGGATAAGGCTTGGGAAACCTATAAGGAGTTCAAGCGCCTCCATGGTTTCCCAAGCCCCTTTCTTGTGGCTGGGCTGATAACTGAGTTATCTTATTCTTCTGATTCAAAATGCCTTCGTAAGGCATGTGATCTTGTTCTTTCTATTTCAATAGAGAAACCAGGAATACTTCAGCCTGACTTAATGACTAAGCTCGCCCTTTCCTCAGCTAGGGCTCAAATGCCTGTTCCAGCATCAACCATCCTTCGACTAATGCTAGAGAAGAGGAGTTTGCCATCTCTTGATATGTTGGGAATGGTCTTTCTACATATGGTGAAGACAGAAATTGGGACGTATTTAGCATCAAATATCTTGATCGAAATTTGTGGTTGTTTTCCGAATAGAAATGCCCATAAATCAGCTCACATAGAGTTGAAAAAGCCTGACACTATGATCTTTAACCTTGTTCTAGATGCTTGTGTAAGATTTGGAGCATCTTTGAAGGGTCAGCAAATTGTGGAGTTGATGGCACAAGTAGGAGTTATAGCTGATGCTCACACAGCTATAATTATTTCTCAAATCCATGAAATCAATGCCATGAGGGACGAGTTAAAGAAATTTAAAGATTATATAGATCAGGTTCCAGTTACTTTAGTTTGTCACTATCAGCACTTTTATGATTGTATGCTAAGCTTGCATTTCAGATTCAGTGATATAGATACTGCATCCAAACTCATACTGGACTTGTGTAGATATTACGAGTCGAATTTGTTTCAAGGGGGTAAGAGGGAACCACAAATATCATGCGCTGTCTCCATTGGATCCCACAACATGAGTACGGGATTGACATTGCACTTTTTACCCCAGCAGTTACAGAGAGATTCTATTTGTAAAGTGAACAGCAAGCCAGGGCTAGTTGTGTTCAAGAACGGGAAATTTTTTCTTAGCAACAAAGCTCTGGCCAAACTGATCGTAGGATACAAGAGATGTGGGAGGATTGGCAAGCTCTCAAAGCTTCTCATTAACATTCAGAATAACTGGAGTTCATTAGAATATAACAGTCTGTGTTCCAATGTGATTGATGCTTGTATTCATTTGGGATGGCTACAGACTGCCCATGACATTTTGGATGACTTTGAATTAGAAGGATATCCCATCAGTGAAAGTTCATATATTTCCCTTTTGGCTGCTTATTCCAAAGCGAAGTTGTTTAGGGAAGCAGAAGCACTAATAAAACAAATGAGGAGAACTGGCATTGTTTCAAATATTTCCCCCAAGATGGCTTTCTCCTCAAATACTTCTGAATCTGAAGCTGGAAAGGTGTATCTGAAAGAGCTAACATCAGCATCCAAGTCAGATTTAGCTGAGTCTGTCGTTCGAAATATTAGAGAAGAGGAGAAAGTGGGTCCTTCGTTGGTTCACGAGTACAATTCCTCCATCTACTTCTTCACAAAGGCCAAAATGATTGGAGATGCCTTGAAGACATATCAAAAAATGCAAGAGATGAAGATCCAGCCTACCATGTGTACTTTCTACCATCTGATTTGTGGATATGCTTCTTTGGGAATGTACCGTGATATCACGATCTTATGGGGGGATATTAAGAGGAGCATGAAGAATCAGAATGCAATATACCACAGAGATTTGTACGAGTTACTGCTGTTAAATTTTCTTCGAGGTGGTTATTTTGAGAGGGTTATGGAAGTAATAGGTATTATGATGGAGAATGGTATGTACCTGGATAAATGGAGTTATAAAACTGAGTTCTTAAAGTTCCACAGGGATCTTTATAGGAGCTTAAAAGTGTCTGATGCTAGAAATGAGGTTCAGTCCAAGAGGATTGAGCTTGTTGGGGCATTTAGGAAGTGGGCTGGAATTGGTTGAATTCCCTGTAAAACTTTTCCAGAAAGATTGTGCTCATATGATTCATATCCTCGTCCAATAAGATGCCATCCAAAGCACTTATGGTTTGTACCCGAGCTCAAGGAAGAAGCTCCATCATACACCACCGGCATGTCAAATATGCTTCATAGTCTTTGTTCTTCATTGTTCTGTCCTGATGACATGGTCCTTTATTTCCATTTTCACGATAAAATTTTGGATCACTTAGTAATGGATTTTTATGCTGAATAGCAGAACATCGTAATTATAAATGATGTTATCTTTTCTTTTGGGAAGGTGAACAAAGTCGTAGAGAGTTTCAATGTGATCAATGATAGAGAAAAGCCGCTTGCTGCTCGTTTGTTTACGAATGACAAAATGCTAAAAGAAGAGTTCGTAGAAAGTGTCTCAGGAGGGGGTTTGTCCATTAATGGAACCACTCTGCAAGTAAGGGTTCTTCCTCGAGTTACAATCCTTGCTTTAGATTTTCTTTCTTTCTTTTTTTTTTTTTATACGCCTGCAGTCATGCTTATTATATTGTGTGTTCTTGCATATACACTTGCATTATACAATTTTGCAATACTTTCCATGTTTTAGCGACGATTGATTAGTTTATCAAAAAGAAAAAAAATGATTAATAGACGGCGTAAATGGTGCAGGGTACAACTGTCACTTAACCAATTGGAGGCGTAGTGAATGGGATCATAGCATGGGAAATACACTTTTCACCTTTGCTGGGAAGCGGCTGGAAGGTGCCCGCCCAACACATCCGAGAAACTGCGATTTCTCAAGGCATTTCTATTGAAATATACTGGGCGTTTTCCGAATTGGTCGTAAGATTCAACTGTATGGTTGTCCGTGTATGAATTCTTGGATAGGTAGAAGGTAAAATGTCTAATTTATGTTTGTGCTTTGTACATGTAAAGAATAATTATGTAGAATGTAACTATTTGATTTATAGTACCCCCAGAAGCCGATGAAACTATTTTATTGAAATTTAATTGTCCCAATTCCCCGAGATTGCATCAAGAATTTGTGTTCCTTTTGGATTTCCTAGGATCTACCTCTATTGAGCCCCCTGTTTAGTAGGAATTAAAATTAGATTTTTAGTAGATTTTGATAGAAGTCGATGAAATGTGTGATTAAAATTAATTCTTGACTTTGATTTGTATTAAAATCTTGATTTTAATTTCTATCAAATAGGGTCTAACATTTGATTATATTTTTACCATGTATTTCTCCTCAAAAAAATCTTGTATGCTATGCCTAGTCTCAATGCGAAAGCTCTACCCTTTGGATATCACTGCATACAATCATTTGATTTTGTTAAAAATAGTTTTTAATTTGATTTATAGTACCCCCAGAAGCTGATGAAACTATTTTAGTGAAATTTAATTGTCCCAATTCCCCGAGATTGCATCAAGAATTTGTGTTCCTTTTGGATTTCCTAGGATCTACCTCTATTGAGCCCCATGTAGTAGATTTTGATAGAAATCGATGAAATGTGTGATTAAAATTAATTGTTGACTTTGATTTGAATTAAAATCTTGATTTTAATTTCTATCAAATAGGGTCTAACATTTGATTATATTTTTGCCATGTATTTCTCCTCAAAAAATCTTGTATGCTATGCCTAGTCTCAATGCGAAAACGCTACCCTTTGGATATCACTGCATACAATCATTTGGAGTGTGTTTGGTAGAGATTTTTGGAGGAAGAATTGATTTTTGAATAGTGATATGATGGGAAATGTATGAATGAAAAAGAAGAAAAAAGTATTGATGTGATGGAAAATATTATTTTATTGAAGAATGTGTGATTGAAAATAAGAATTGATTTACTGTAGAAAATGATAATCTGTACCAAACAGGCCCTTGATTTTGTTAAAAATAGTTTTTAATAGATTTTGATAAAAGTTAATGAATTGTGGTTGAAAATTTGATAAACCAAATAGGGACTGAATCCGAATCTTCGACTTATGACCTTTTAACTTGCAAAGTTGCAAACGACCAAGTAGTTAATCCCTTATCGGTTTCGAACTTGGGTTTTGGAGTTTTTGTACTTCAAAATTCGAATCTTCAAATATAGGAGTGAATAAATTTAGCTCAAGAAAACAACGCGGACTCGTTAAGCATGAATGCAATTATAATACATTTGATGACTATTATCACGAATGGTCAAAAGTTACAAGCTAGTTACTTCATTCAACATTACGAGCATTTGATGGACAAATTTACAAAGAAAGACCTCGGGTTCCTCGACAATCTTTAATCTTAGCCCCCGTTATTCCTCAATTATAATTCAATTTTCTCTCCTTTTTATAATCTTGAAGGGTTGCTCAATTGGTCAGCTATGAGTTTGCTCGTTGATGGTCACTAGTTTGAATCCCCTCAGGGCCACTGAAGTGAATATCAGGTCGTAAACTTCAGGCCTCGTGAAATTAGTCGAGGACAAATTTACAAAGAAAGACCTCGAGTTCTTGGACAATCTTTAATCTTAGCCCCCATTATTCCTCAATTATAATTCAATTTTCTCTCATTTTTATAATCTTGAAGGGTTGCTCAATTGGTCAGTTTGCTCGCCGATGGTCACCGTTCGAATCCTCTTAAAGCCATTGAGGTGAGTACCCGATCGTAAACTTCAAGGCCCCGTGAAATTAATTGAGGTGCACTCAAGCTAGTCTAGACATTCACGGTTATTAAAAAAAAAATTCTCTCATTTTTATCAATCACACATTTTTCAATAAAATAATATTACACGTAAATAAATAAAAAATCTTATTTTTAACCACACATTATCCAAAAAATTACTATTCCTCTCATTGTAATACGTTTAATAATAGCGGCCAAACGAGCTCTTAACACTATCTGATCTGATGTTTATAATTTCCAGTCTTGTTCTGCCCTTGCAGCAGCCTCAGCATCTTTAGAAAGTATCTACTTATTCTTTATTATAAACTTTAGCAATTAAAAAAGGAAGATTCCATATTGATAAAATATTATAGATATAAAACATTTTTTTGCGGGAATGATTTAACTATCCTCACTTGTTTTTTCTTTTCTCATTTATAAGATTTATTTGATTAAAATGGGAACCTTGCTTTTAGGTAATTTTTTTTTTTTTTATTTATGCAATAATGTGTGAATAAAATTATATTTTCTATGATCTTTATTTTATTTTACTCGTAAATGATATTGAAAAACAGAGAAAGTTATTTCTTTTTTTCTATTCCTCTTTTTAGTTAAAAGTTTAAATCGTGCTAATAATATAAAACTGCTGCCTGCGGCCTGCTGCCCATCTTTATTTGTCATATCAGAAGGCATCTCCAACGCTAGCCACACAGGCACAAGGCCACTCTCCCTCCCTCTAAACACACGATTGAAAGTGGGGGTGGTGTTAGTATGGCGTTGGAGGCAGCGCAGCTGGTGGCGGGGCTGAGGGCAACCTTTGTGAGTGGCAAAACCAAGAGCTACGAATGGCGGGTGTCCCAGTTGAAGGCCGTTGTGAAACTAGCTGATGAACGTGAGAAAGACATAATTGGTGCTCTTCGCTCTGACCTCAACAAACCAGAATTCGAGTCCTATGTCCACGAGGTACATAATTCATTCTCGTGAGAAAGACATAATTGGCGCTCTTTGCTCTGTTTTCACTGAAGAAAATGGAAAACTATGCGTTCTTTTTTTCATTTATTTGTCTTTGATCTGGTGGAAATTGCTTGTCTTCGCATTTTTTTGGTATTTTACGACTTCAAGAGGATATTTATTTTAGAATAATGCTAAGTGTTTACATTGTGTGGGAGTTCAAAAAAGTGTTGGGTGGAAAAGTGTGTTTTTTCTTTTAAAACTGTCCAATCATGTCGTCGTTTGGCACAATATCAAAAATGATGTAAAAAGTATGCACACGTAACATGATTGTTTGTTTTAATATTTTGTAAGTAATTGATATGCTTGAGTAAATTAAGATAATATGGTTTCCGGGCTTTTTTTTTTTTAGTTGTTGAAAATGAAATTCAAATAAAAAAATGCGCACTCTCCAACTGCTTAAGCTCGTACTGAATTTAAGTCTCACCACTATGAAAAATGTGCAGGTTCAGAACTTTAAAAAAAAGGGCAATTTTAGTATGCAATTGAGGGTCGTATTGAAGACTAAATTTAAACATATAAAGCCAGCTTCCTGGTGTTCAAATTCGTTTCTTAACAACTCCAAGTTGAGAATAAATTCTACTCCAATGTCCTGTTAATCTTTTAGCAATTAAAGATCGTTGGTTAATTGACGCTCTTCATCTTCAAAAACATTTCTCCCTTTTTCTATTATTTTTATCGTAATCAAGATTTGAAATGTTTCCCAAAATGGAGCAATTCTTACACAGATAGCAGCATTCAATGTGCATGAAGTTCTGTTTGAGTAGGTAGTAGCCAAGTGCATTAAATACAAATAAATATTGTGTTAAGTTTTAATTCTTCTCGTATTTTAGACATTTCATTCGCTGCATCTGATTAATGTTATGTATGTTACAGATTTCTGGAGTAAAAAAGTCGTGCAAGTTGGCATTGAAGGAATTACAACAATGGATGACTCCAGAAAAAGTATATTGACTACATTATAAAAGCTCGGAGGCTGATTGTTCACTTGGTTATCTGTCGAATAAGGGTGATTCCAATGCTAATTGTTTGTGATTGCAGGCGAAAACCTCATCAACCACATTTCCGTCGTCAGCTGAAATAGTTTCGGAACCCCTAGGTGTCATATTGGTCATATCGACTTGGAACTATCCTTTTTGTATGTCGATTCCTGTTTCTCTATGTTCTTTATTTACATGTTTATTTCTCGACAGTATAAAACATGTTTCAGTTGTCATTGTTTCCTTTCCCTTGCAGTGTTATCTCTTGATCCAATTGTTGGAGCTATCTCAGCTGGTAATACTGTAGTGTTGAAACCGTCAGAAATCACCCCTGCCACATCCTCAATGCTTTCAAAGCTTATCCATGAATATATGGATTCTTCGGCTGTGAAAGTTGTTGAGGGTGCCGTGCCTGAAACAACTGCATTGCTGGAGCAAAAATGGGATAAAATATTCTATACAGGTATTAACGAAGTCAATCGCTTGTATTTTTTCATCTCATGAAGAAAGAAATAATTTGTAGGCGTTTTTCTTTACAATCTTGTAGGGAGTTGCAAGGTCGGACGCATTATATTAGCTGCTGCTGCAAAGCATCTTACGCCCGTGATTTTGGAGCTTGGTGGAAAATGTCCAGTGGTTGTCGATGAAAACGTTAATTTAGAAGTAATGATTTATTTCCTTATCTGTATTGTGCCACAATCAGCATCTACTTTCATTTTTACAATTTTTATTCTTCATTTTCAAGGTTGCTGCAAGACGGATAATTGCAGGCAAGTGGTGCTCAAACAACGGGCAAACCTGTGTTGCCCCTGATTACGCAATAACTACAAAAGCATTTGCTTCAAAGTTGGTAAGTTTTCGCATGTGATTGAAGTTCCATATAACACACACCAGAAAAGATATTTGTGGTATATTTGGTGAAGAGAAACTCAACAGCAGCCGACAGTATCAAGAAAAATAAACTTGCATATTATTCTATCCAGCAGACGAGCACTTAATATAGATTCATTAACTTCTGATGTCACTCCTCAGATAGATGCTCTGATTTCTGAACTGGAGAAATTCTTTGGGAAGGAACCGTTGAAATCACAAGATCTATCGCGCATTGTAAATTCCAACCACTTCAATCGCTTGGAAAAATTAATGAACGACGAGAAGGTTTCGGATAAGATAGTTCATGGAGGTCAACGGGATGAAACCAATCTGTGAGTTCCAAAGATGATTTTATACTTTTTGTTGAAGACTAAATTTAAATAAATGTGTTCCCCCCTCTAGTAGCTTAAGCTTTTAGATGAGGTAACTCACACTTTTTGCCTTATTCAACAATGAACTTAAATCAAAATAGATTTTGTGTTGATGTTATTATTTTCCTTTCTTTAATGGCAGAAAGATTGCTCCCACTATTCTATTTGATGTTCCGGAAGATTCTTTAATCATGAACGAGGAGATATTTGGTCCTTTACTTCCAATTATCACGGTAAAAATTTCGATCCTTTGTTCATACTTTTCGCGGAGCCTCATTTTTGTTATAAATGTGAGAAAAAATGTCCTACATCGGTTAGATATGGAGACGATATGGTTTATAAGTGGTTTAGGCTACTCCACCTAATAGGTACATATTTGAAATGGATATCACGTAGGCCTTGATTGAGTATGTGAGATGGACAGAAGAAGAAATCTCTTGTGGGGCCTTAATGATCACGCTTGGGCTATATTGATGTGGTGCTTCATTCGAGTGGGATGGAGATTTGAGAACAAAATTTTCAAATTGCTTCATATGAAGATGGGGATCATGTGATTCCACCTAGTATGTTAACCTTTCTGGATACATCCAACCCCAGTACTAGATGATTATAAGTGAGATGTGTGTCAATATAAACATGGGTGAGATTGTTTGACCAGGATCATTTTGCCAATACATTCTCCTCGATCAAGAAAGAGAAGAAAATCGTGCATTTTCTGATGTAGCTCCCTGCAATGTTTTGGCATAATTTTTACAGAGAAATGCTTGGATTAGAATGATAATTCACTTCAAGAAAACAAAGAGAAAAATATAAGATGAATTTCATACGACCCGTATCCTTCATTTTAAGAGGTGAAGAATTTTGTAAATTTTTTTGCAGTGCTACTTTTACCGAGACAAAAAGGGGCAGAAAACATTCTTTGATTTATTTTTGTGTTAGCTTGGGACAGTTTTAATTTGAAATGTTGTTATTTTTTCTTTTGTGAAGGTCAACAAAATTGAAGACAGTATCAATGTGATCAATGCTAGAGAAAAGCCGCTGGCTGCTTATTTATTCACAGATGAGAAAAGGCTCGAGGAGGAGTTCATTGGAAGCGTCTCTGCAGGGGGGATGTCGATTAATGAGACTACTCTGCAGGTAATTATTCGTGCCAACTGTATTATGCGTATATTGTTGCATATTTACTTGCACTATATCTTGCATTAGGCATGACGTTTTTCACCTCCATGATGTAATTTCCATGTGGTTTTGGAAATACCCCGCAAACATGAAGTCGGTATTTACTGATGCAGGTTACAGTTAACTCTTTACCATTTGGAGGCGTAGGTGAAAGTGGAATGGGTTCGTACCATGGGAAATTCTCTTTCGATGCTTTCAGCCATAAGAAGGCAGTTTTACGGCGTAGTTTTGCAGGGGATGCGGCTACAAGGTACCCGCCATACACACCGGAGAAATTGCGACTCATCAAGGCACTATTAGATGGCAATGCACTCGGCATTTTTCGAGCTTTATTTGGTCGGTTATGATCAATTATGGCTATATCCATTCCTAGAGATCCGTTACTTTGTATTACGTGCTATATGTATCTTTTGTTCCATTTGATTCTCCATTCTCCACTATAAAGATTGAAAAATCTAGTCTAATTTCATCTCATTAGTGAGATTATTTAAATGCGATGTGATCAAGGGAGGAAAAGCTACCTAGATCAATTTAATCCAAGTATATTTTGCATCACTTTTTTAATAATAGGCCAGTTGAGCCAATTTTGTACTGGCTCACTTGACCAAGTTAATGGCCAAACCATGCCAAAAGATTCTATTACATTATTCAAGTCCAAATATGGCCACCAGGTTGAACCAAGATTGACTGGGTCCAGCCTATTAGACCAGCCTTGATTTGACTTACCTTTTTTTTATTTTTCGAATGGTTATGCTCGCAACAAATACCTTACATTTAAATTACATTAAATATCATTAACCTTTACTCATTAAGTTTTTTTTATTTGTAATTATTTGAGAATAAGAGCGTGAAGAAAAATACGAGGACATAAATGTTATAATGAATATAAGTTAGGAACTTTTTATGCAATTAAAATGTGGTGGGATCGTGGGGATATATTTAATTTTTTATTAAGGTCTTGTCTTATATATTTGGATGTTATTTGAGTTAGATATGCCATTGAATTCTTTATTAATTCACGGGTTTTCCTCTTGTCTATTTAACATATTTTTTTTCCAATATACAAACAAAGAACATTTCATTAATCAATTTCACCTCGTCAATCAATAATGTTGTATTAAAAAAAATATTTATACGTTATTCCAAATTATAAATATTACTAAAGCGTTATTCTCAATGAGTTGAAATTGACTACATGGATCACCTTTTCACATCAGTACAAGAATTTAATATTGTATTATAAGATGTCATAAAAAAATGTATACTTGTCGTTAGGAAATAAATTATGGAATATGATTGTGATTTTTAGGAATTAAATTAATATGCCTGTAGGGATAAGATCTGCAACCTTGATTTGGAGTTTGTGATAACTTATATTGAATCCCTATTTTTTTATGTAATTGGACAAAAACGTGGAGGGGGTGGTTTTAGTCAAACTCTATTGTACACTACTAACAAATTTGTTCATTAGACATTTCAATAATCTCAAATTGAATAAACAATCCATTCTCTCTTTACGTAAATATTTCAATATTCACAACATACCGTGATTATAATTGCCTATCATGTCTTAATTGTCAACATTTTCTTTAGGGTTAGGCGCCACACCTAATCGACAAACTAGTTATTTTCGCATTTAAATGACTGACAATAGATTTTAAAGTGCTCTTTATGCCAATATTGACTCCATAAAAAATAAGCTCATAGTAATCTCAAATCGAAGAGATTATCCCATCTCTCTTGACGTAAGTTTCACACATTTAAATTGAATCCTTTTGGGTTAATTACCACACCTAATCGATTAACTAGTTATACTCGTATTCTTAAGACTTTGACATTAGCTTAAAGATACTCTTCAATGACAACATTGACTTCATGCATCAAGATTTATGACGTATTCAAAGCACAAATAATGTATCTATTTTTCTGGAGTCTAGATGATCTTGACTCACTGCAACCTTGTCCAATGTTTGAAAATGTATTCATACCTCATTGGATAACGTGGTAATGGTAACACTGCCCCATAGACGGATGATCGTCTAAACTCTAGATGAACAGTAACATTACTTGATGATCTTCATCGATCTACATGACTGAACTCCATTCGTCAGGTGATCATCGTCGGGCTACATGGCAGTAAACCTTCTAATATATAGCATTAGTCAAAATGAATTCGAAAAAAACAAGCTTGTTAACACGGCCCAATGCAGCCGGCCATCTTTCCCTTCCCAAGAATAAAACCAAGCATATAAACCACCATATAAAGCTCATTACTGTCAAAACCAAAATACCGTCTCTGTATACAAAAGGCCATATTCCCTTCTCTACTTCATCAATACTCCCAGCATTCCAAACACATTAGCCTCTGTATCTGCACATATGCACACACTTTAAAGTGGGGTGTTGATATTTGTTGATAGTATGGCGGTGGACGTGGCGGAGGTGGTGGCTGAATTGAAGGCAACCTATACAAGTGGCAAGACAAAAAGCTGTGAGTGGCGGGAGTCGCAGTTAAAGGCCCTGATAAAAATGGCTAATGACCATGAGAAAGATATAATTGAAGCTCTCCGTTCTGACCTCAATAAACCAGAATTTGAAGCCTTTGTCCATGAGGTCACATAATTTATACTTGTTTTCCTTATAGCTAGGAGGTCACATAATTTATACTTGTTTTCCTTATGCTCGTATAATTACTCTACTTGCGGCTTGGTGATTTATAGCTTGGCCAGTCGACTTATAATTACTTGAACACCTTCCCGGATTTCTTATTATTGTCTTTTTAACAACTGGGCACCGGAGCAAACACAAGGGGAATCTCATATTGCCAAGTTAAAACTTGACCTTTGACATTATAGTTAGATAGGCTCCTTTTATGAGCTAGTCCCAAAGATGAGTTTTACTCAGTACTGTATCAACAAGTTTAGTGGAACCAAGGGACTGATAATCATTTTTGTCTTCTTTGATTGCCATCCAGTGCTTTATTTTTGCTGAGGAAGATAGAAATTTCTGAGATATTTATTTGTGGCTTGTGTATTTGATTTGGTTGAAATCGATTGTCTTTTAGCTTCTGAATTTTATTATGAATGAGGAATCAGGAGCATGTAGGGGAGCAAATATTATTTATCCTTTGCTTGCTCAGGGTTGAGCTGCCTCTCTTTTGTGGCATGCTTATGTACATTCTTGATGACTAATTGAGATACAACTTCGATCTTTTTGTGTGTTTTTGCAAACTTGGTTTGCTTTTTATGGTAATAGCAGTTTTAATCATGAACTAATTAGTTAACATCCTGAAGAGATAAATATATTTCAGCTGAAAATATACGTTGTGTTTGTCTTTTCATTCTCAGCATCTGATTAGTGTTATGTACTCTGTAGATTTCTACTGTCAAATCATCGTGCAAGTTGGCATTGAAGGAATTACGCCGATGGATGGTTCCAGAAAAGGTAATTTTACTCGATTACTGTAAAGTGTAAACTTTCACCTTATTGTTATCTTGATCATCAGTCAAATAAGGCTATTTCAGCACTAATTATTTGTGGTTGCAGGCGAAAACCTCATCAACCACATTTCCCTCATCAGCCGAAATAGTTTCAGAACCCCTCGGTGTTATATTGATCATATCAACTTGGAACTATCCTTTTTGTACGTTGATTCCGGTTTATCTGTGTTCTTTGTTCACGAGTTTCAATTCTCAATTATATAAAATGTATTTCAACTGTGACCGTTCCTTTCCCCTGTAGTGTTATCTCTTGATCCAGTTGTTGGAGCTATTGCAGCCGGTAATGCTGTAGTGTTGAAACCATCGGACATTGCCCCTGCCACATCCTCACTACTTTCGAAGCTTCTTGGGGAATATATGGATTCCTCGGCAGTGAAAGTTGTTGAGGGTGCTGTCCCTGAAACTACTGCATTACTGGAGCAAAAATGGGATAAAATATTCTATACAGGTATACCGAATGTAATCACTCGTGGATTCTACTCCCTAATAATCTTTTACCATTATCATATAGACTGACTTAAATTTTCAGATTTAAATGACCTTTCTAAATATGCTTTCAAACAAGTAAATTCGTAGGAAATGGAAAGGTGGGACGTATTGTATTAGCTGCTGCTGTAAAGCATCTTACGCCTGTGATTTTGGAGCTTGGTGGAAAATCTCCTGTGGTTGTTGATAAGAACATAAATTTAGAAGTAATGATTCTACTCCCAAATTCGAATTTTTAAGGAGCCATAACTATTGTATGCTGTTAATTTTACCATTCTGCATTTTCAAGGTTGCCACTAGACGGATAATTGGAGGCAAGTGGGCCTCAAACTGCGGGCAAACCTGTGTTTCCCCTGATTACGTAATAACTACAAAAGCATTTGCTTCAAAGTTGGTAAGTTTTCTTCATTTGATTAAAGATCCATATAACTTAAACGATGTGGATATCAAATTCTATGTTTCAATAACTTCTGATGTCATTTCTCATCAGATAGATGCTCTGATATCTGAACTGGAGAAATTCTATGGGAAGGAACCTCTGAAATCACTAGACTTATCAAGCATTGTAAATTCCAGTCACTTCGAGCGCTTGACAAAATTAATGGATGATGAGAAGGTTTTTGGTAAGGTAGTCCATGGAGGTCAACGGAACAAAACCAATCTGTAAGTTCCAATGCTTGATTTTACACTAACAATTTTAAATTAAACTTCATTTTTTATCGAGGTTATTATTCTCCTGTCTATCCTGGCAGAAGGATTGCTCCGACTATTTTGTTGGATGTTCCAGAAGATTCTCTGATCATGAATGAGGAGATATTTGGTCCATTACTTCCCATCATGACGGTAAAACTACGGTTCATGGGGTGAATTTTTCTGAGCCCCATTATAAATGAGATATACATCAACATGAAACAAAGAACAAAATTTATGATGAATTTCCAAGAACTCGTAATTATTCATTATGAGAGGAGAAAATTTTGATAGCAAATATGGCATACAATGCTATTTTTTTTTATCAATACAGAGGGCAGAATGATACACATGTTCGACTTTTTGTCTTTGCTTTTATTTTGGCTCTGGAAAATTTTAATTTTAAGTAGTGTTTTCTTTTGTGAAGGTCAACAAAATTGAAGACAGTATCAATGTTATCAATGCAAGAGAGAAGCCTCTTGCTGCTTATTTATTTACGAATGACAAAAAGCTAATGGATGAGTTCGTAGGAAGTGTCTCAGCAGGGGGTTTGTGTATTAACGACACTACTCTGCATGTAATTGTTCTTCCTGGATTATAATCCTTACTAAAGCTTTTGGTAGATTTGAAATTGTCATTTTATATTAAGCGTATATTGTTGTGTATATGCTTGCACGAGGATTTGCATTAGCTTTGACCATTTTTACAATCATGATGTGATTTCTCCCTTCTAATTATGTTGCCGCACCTCTAGTGGTCATGTTAAATTATGAGCTTATCAAAGTAAAATGTCAATGGGTATGATCTGAATCATTATGATAAACTTGCTGGTGCAGCTTGCAGAGTCATCTTTACCATTTGGAGGCGTAGGGGGAAGTGGAATGGGATCATACCACGGGAAATTCTCTTTTGATGCTTTCAGCCATAAGAAGGCAGTTTTAAAACGTAGTTTTGCTGGGGATATAGCTGCAAGGTACCCACCATACACAACCAGGAAGCTTCAACTTCTGAAGGCACTGCTAAATGGCAGTATACTTGGGATTCTTCGAGCTTTATTTGGTTGGTAAGATCCAACCGTGTTTTAGCTATCCCATTTGGTCGAACAATTACATCAGCAGTAAAAGGTCTATGTTAAGTATGTGCTTTTATGATAGAGAATAATGTATTGTGGCTAATTGGCTCCACGTTTATTTGAACTGTGAGGCACCTTAGAAACGTTTGTATATGTTTTGAATTGTCTCATGCAGTTTATTGATTTGTCAAGATCTTGATTTTTCCATATTTGTAATGCTTGGGCATAATAAAAATCAAGGCTTGGAAATAAAGATCCTGTCGAATATTGTACAAAACAACAGTAAATATCATAACATGATATGATGAAGTGGATTCAACATCTGATTCTGTGATTCGGTGAAAGTGACTCAAATTGGAATGTGAAAACAAGATAAAAGTGCAATCAATCATTTCAACTACTTGATTCTGTTCTGTTAGTTCTTATAATTACTGTAAGATCTAAATTGAGTTGATCATTAAAAACTACAGACATTCTTACTCTCTTCCTCCTTAAAGGGAAATCCACTTCAATCCTTTCCCACTCTCATGTTTGGGTAAGTAGGCTTCTCATTTTGAAAATTAAAGGACACTACATTGCTTGTTGGGTTGAAAATGTCATTGCAATTACTCGAGCTTACTTCCACTACTGAACGCATATTGAATTATTGATACATCTAACCTTCCGAAGTAATTTAGTCCTCTTTATACTTACAATACTCATACTAGCGGATGCAGATATAGAACAGGAGTTTTCTGCTGCACATCCTCCTCCTTTTGCAGATGGAGTCCTAGGATTTGGAAGTTTTGAAAGAAGTATTTTGTCACAGCTAAGATTTCAAAGGGACCTTTGGCGCGTTCCTCTGATTTCTTGAACTCTTTTGACTCAATAGTTTCGAGCTTCATCATTGACAAGAATGTCTGTTTTAAACTAGTACCAACATAATGTTTTATTGTCAGCATGTCTTGAGGACCTGTTGGAGTTCTGTTTTAGATGGTATAGGACAATATTAAGAAAGAAAAAGATGCTAAAATCAAATTCTTTGTACCATCCAGTATAGTCTTATACAATGTAAAAAACATGCACTACATTTATTAATTCTTCACTACAGACTTACTTGGCAAGCTCTTCAATTGTAGGAACTGGAAAATGTGTTTGGGACTCTAGAAAACCCAGGAACTTGGACCAGAATTTGAAAACCTGAACATAATTGGAGAGAAGAAAAATAAACAAGGCATTTTGATTTTCATCGTTGAATCAAATTCTCAATTTTCAAGTACACAGTCATTTCTATGCTACAAAAGTTCGTGATTTATGATTTTGAAAACCAGAAATTGGATTGAATTATGCAAACTGCAGTGAATTACCAGATAAGCTTTCTTATAAGTTACTTTCAACAGTTTTTTTTTTTTCCCTTCCATACAAGGGACTCCAGGAGCTTTAAATACAAAACAAATTAATGCTTAACTGAAGCCTCAATATATTTTGTGCAGTAAAAGATGGACACCTACTATGCATTCAGGGAATACGAGAAATGGTAAATGGCACAACAGAAAAGATATTGCTCGTTGGCACATGAGAAAAAACAGGAAGCTGGATTATTCATTCACACTAAAGTTGATATTTACAACGTCACTTTCCTCAGAGATTTATTTGCTTTCATCGCTTAGAATAATATGGTGTACAATTGGCTTCAGGCAAATAAATTTCCAAACTTGCCAATGCTCATTCAATCTGGTCTTATAAAGCATGGAAGATGTATGGTATTCTCTGATAGAGGCCACATGTTGATTTCCATAATGTTTAAATATATAAATGTTACAAGAAATGTTTGAAGGCCTATGAATTCTCAATATACTTGCCCACTGTTTGTGTAGGGGGAAAAAATCTGATGAGAATAATATTCTACGACTAGCAATTCTTTTATTCCCAAAGCGACCCACTGGGCGCATGATTTGCTTGGGTTCAGTCCTGTTTCCTTTGGTCACAGACTGTGGTTGCCTCTACACACACTTGTGCCTCTAAACAATTGACGAGTTACTATTTTTCAGCATTGCTTCCTTTTCTCCATGTTTATTTGTTTCTTTTACAAGTTACAAACGAGAATAACAAGGTACTTATTAGCCACTCCATATGAAATGGACAATGCTGCTGACTCTATTCGAATTGAATCTGAACCCTCATGAATGTAACCTAAATTGTTCTCTCTTTATTGTCATTTGTTTTCATTCCGTAGAAATCAAAAATACAGAAATGCTATTGGAAGAAATTTTTTTAAGCTTAACCAGAACTGCTGCAAATTCATAGAAAATAATTTCAGGCCAAGATGCCTAGTTGGTTAGGAGCCGTACATTGCATGTAAATTCAATTGCTGGGTTTGGAATGTGTTTTGAAATTTCTCAACTAATTTGCCACAAAAAATCCATCTAAAATTTCTTTTTATGGAAAATTTATTTCAAAATTCATTGTAAATTTGATTTACTAGGTATAATTTTTGCTTTTTGCCAATTTACTGTGAATGGTTTTGCAAAAAATTAACATTTCTCCATAGCGAACATGCCTGAAAGGATGAGGCATGATTATGGATCTCTGTGAGGGTTATTTTTCCTTTCACGGTGGAATTTGTCTCCGTTACTATTCCTCACTGATGAGTGGTCTATCATATAATTTTCATTATGGATGTGATCTAATGCAATTCATCGCATATCATGCATTTAGAACTGGTTTGCAAAGGAATAATCTGTTGGTTGACAAATTTTGCAATGGTTTCTTTTTCTTTGTCTTTTCTTTTTCCCTTTGGGCCAGCATTCATGTCCGTAGATCCTCACAAATCCATTACAAAGCTGAAATTTAGCAAAGAACCAATCTGCAGGTAATTAACGCTTGTTTCACTGTATGACAAAACATCGATATTTACAAAGTTGTCGAGTACTAACTAGAAAGGCAAAACATCTAATGCGTTATGAATCCTTAATTCTTAAGTTATGATGATCTGTTTCATGTTCATCTTTCAACATTGGAATTCTAACCTTAACTACTAGATGACAAAGGATAATGTCAGATGAATTTTACAAAGTTTCAACCCTTTTTCCTATCTTCCAATTGATTAGAAACAAAGATTCCGTCAGATATTAGACAAACCATAAGACAATAATGACGAACTGGATTCACATTTGGCACTCCTCTGTTAATCCTATATATAAGTTCTAGGTTTCTCATCCTGCATTCAGGAAAGTGATTCACAATGGAATGCAAAAGAAAAATGCAATCAATCATATTGTGGAGTACTATCTTTTATGCTCTAAAATTTAAGGTTTGTTTCATAGTTGCCAGGCAGCTGTATAATGAAACAGGCGCACCCGCTCAATCTCCCTTTCCCAGTCCTTCATCCTACTATTTCCTAGTAGAAGGAGATCCTCTTAAGAATGGGTATCATGATCTTTTAAATTCGAAAGTTGATTTAGTGCTACTTAAATTTAATATCCCGACACATGAAATACATTTTGATTATTCGATTTGCAGGTTTATTAGTGCTACGGTGCAAGTGGGAAATGATTTTAAAAAATTCTTCCTTGATATTGACACTGGCAATGACCTTACATGGATCACATGTTCCCCTACTAACATTAAGTTTCTGAAGGTTAATTTTTTGTTCAAATTTTAAGCTCTATAAATATACAAATAATTTTTCTAGTTAGATTAAAATGGAAAAAATAATTTGTGGGTGTGTTTGCAGCCTTTTAGCGTATATCGGACCCCACATGGTCCTTATGTGACCAAGAACAATATCGTGTCATGCGTGGATGCCTCCATATGTGGATTCATCGAAAAACCAGTAAATCCACAATGTAGTCAGCAAAATCAGCAATGTGATTATCAGATTGAATATGCAGACCACGGTACATCTCTTGGTGTTTTGGTTAAGGACACCTTTGTACTCTCTTCCTCCTTAAAGGGAGATCAACTATGATACACTCCTACTCTCACATTTGGGTAAGAAAAGATCTCATTTTGCAAATCAAACATGGTTTTAAATGTTGTCGCTATTTTTGAACTTGCTTCCATTCACTGACGAGCAAATTTAGTGGTAAAAAGTGTGGAACGAGTTTTGGTTATTCTGTCTTTTGATTAATCAGGGTTCGTTCTTCGACTAATATAAATAGGTTTTCTCAAGTTCTGTTAAGTATGTAGAAGTTCATGAAATGCAGATCGAGCTATTTTTATTTGCTTAGCTATCCGACACTATTCACTCTTTTCTTTATACTTACTATACAACTCTTACTGGCAGGTGCGGATATCATCAAGAATTTTCTCCTTCACTTCGTCCTCCTTTTACAGATGGAGTCCTAGGACTTGGCAGTGGCGAAACAAGCATTTTGTCACAGCTAAGCAGTCAAGGTCTAATTAAGAAGGCTATGGCCCTTTGCTCAAGTGATAAAAATGGCCCTGGATATCTTGTCCTCGGAGATTCTCTATCAAATTCACCATACATTACATGGAGGTCACTGTCAAACAATCACCTTGAGTAAGCAAAATTCACTAGAAATTAGTCCATCCATATATACCAAAATGTACTTCACATAAGACTAAAAATTGCGCATGTCGAAAATTGCATGTAGGCTTGGCCCCGCAGACATCTTGTATGAAGATAATCTTCTCGTATCTGGGTTGCATTTTTCATTGGATAGTGGGACTACTTACAGCTACTTCAGCCCTGCAATATACCAAGCTGTTCTTTCTCAGGTGAGACAGGACAGAGAATATAATGCTGCATATCATCCACAGAATCAACTTATTATCCTCTGGTTGATTTTTCAGGTGAAAGAATTGGCATCGAAAGCAGGAACCCCAGTTGTGGATCCATATCTTTCTGTCTGCTGGAAACCTTTGACATCTTCAGACAACTTCTTGGAATCTTTCGGATCCTTATATTTGAGCATCACAAGTGATAACACAGTCTATTTTCAACTAGCGCCAGTTGACTATCTTGCTATTAGTGTAAGAACCTTTCGAAAATTATTATGTATGCATTAAATTTTCAAAAGAAAATATAAGCATTTCGCGAGCTCTTAAATTACAGCCTCTGGATAATGTGTGTTTGGGGATCCTAGACAGCCAGGAACTTGGACCGGAATCTGAAAACCTGAACATAATTGGAGGTAATAAATACCAAGGCATCTAAAGAATAACTCAATGAATTCTTCGTATACTAAGCTAATTATCAAACTTTGGCTGCACAGACCTTCCTCTGCAACAGAGGTTGGTGATTTATGACTATGAAAACCAGGAAATTAGTTGGGGTGACGCGGATTGTAGTGATCTACCGGTACAGCTTTCTAGTAAGTTACTTTTTTTCTTATACAAGATTATTGGAGCTTTTCTATACAAATTCAAATTAATATTTACTGAAGTGTTAATCTGTGTTGTGCAAAAAAAAAGCCACAGGCCCTGATATGCATCCTGTGAAAAAGAGAAAGGGCGAATCACACAAGGGAAATGATATCAGTCGTCTGCACATGAGGAAAAAGAGGAAGCAAAACTTCAATTCGCCCTAAAGTTGATTTTCTGGCTAGATACAAATTATGATTATGAAATTTCATTACACCAGAAATTTTTACTGCATATAATCTATCTGATTATTAAATCATTTACTTCTTAATATATTGACAATCTTTTAGCCGTCTTCTCACCAAATAACAAAGTCCGTCCTATCCACTCGCATAAAGAAATTCGCTGGTGTATGCAACTAGTTTGGATCCATTCAAAGGGCAATACAAATGATTGATGAGTTTGTATTTCTTAATGGACTGCGTGGTAACGTTTTCACCACTCTATTTGAAACTGATAATGCTGAAAAATCAAGTCGGATTGAGCCTGAAAACTCGCGAATGAAACCTAATTTTTATCACTGATCTAAAAGCTTAAATTGTTAAAGAGGGCCACGTGTACATCATTGAAATATTGTCTTAGACACGTCGCTCACTTATAGGTAGGTTTCATTTTTTTATTTTTCCAATCAAAGTCTTACACCTACACAATTTTTATTTAAGTAGGTTGCGACAATACTTGAACCCATGATATTTGCTCTGATACCATGTTGAACCATTTAATTTAAAATTTTAAGTTGTTAGAAACGTCCACGTGTATATTATTTAAGTATTGTCTTTAATTATAGTTGCTTGTTGTCATTCTTCACAAATCAAGAGATTGGTAAAAACTTCGAGACTTCTCAGGAACTGTTTTTCGACTCAAAACACGTAGGCATTGTCTGTGCAGGAAAAATCCGCGGACTGTTGTTATTCTATCATACATGGTATTTCCAAAGCTGTTGTATTAAGTAGAAAGACAAAACATCTAATAAATTAAGTATTCTTAACTCACAAGGTTCAAAATTGGAATTCTAACCTCAACTGTCCGATGACAAAAAGTTCATATTTTTCATCAATTTTTTGGTCCATGAGCCAAAGGACCAAACAAAGCCTAATTTGGGAACACAAGCCGAGCTTGTGTCAAAAAGTCAAGACAACTCAACTCAGTCCATTGCTACCCCTACTCCAAATTGGGTGGATTGCAGTAGAGGTGTCAATCCGGGTGATCCTGGCCGGGTCGACCCACCAACATATGAGTCTGGTAACAGCCCGCGTAAAATAAAGCCCACCCACTTTGGGTTTCGGGCAGTTCCGTGTCGGCCCACAAATTTTGGACTACAACTCAGGCCTGCCCGCTGACCCATCCGGGTCGAGCCCATACGGATCACAGGTCGCGGGGGTCGCGGTTTGTTTCGATTTGACCTGTATTATTGTATAAATAAAATTATAAAAATATAGAATTTTTCATATTTATAGCAAAAAAAAATTTTTTTTATTAAATATAAATTAAAAATTGAACAAAATGATAAATTCATATTTATACCAAGAAATGTTTACATAGAATTCAAATTTAATATTACATGAATTATTTATAACTTTACAAAATTAAATTTAACTTAAACAAATAACAAATAAATACATTAATAGTATAAGTATATCTCAACTATGTTTCTACCCACTTAAATCTTAACTATAATTTATTTGTTCAAAATATATATATTTCAAATTTAAAAAAAAAAAAAATTCACGGGCCAACTAGTTAACCGCGACCCGTGAAGGTGCAACCCACGACGCCCGCGGATCAGACCTCTTTAACCCGTGAACCGCCCGCTTGGGTCATGAGTAGGCTCCACAATCCCAGGTCGATCCGGGCTGATTTTCGCAGATCTAACCGACCCGTCGGTCTTGACACCTCTAGACCACACGAATATCAGTTTGCCATATAATGTTGTAAGAACCAATTAGGACTGAATCTTTAACTGAATTGCCATGTGATAATTGTTTGCCAATTTTAAAGTCAGTAAAGGCTAACGGCTTTAGCTCCCTCGTGATTTTCACTCTTGCTGGAAATGTACGAGGAAACTTTTCCTGGAAATTTTTGTTCTTACGAGGAAGCAATACAGAAAATGAAGTCACTGACATTTTATACAGAAAGTACATACAATTGCTGCAGTTGTCAAAAGCTTGTACTTCAATGCCAGTTAGATTAAAATCTGAACAGTATAAACATGAAGGGCTACACCCAATTACAAATTTCTACCATAGAATAGAAGTGTTCACAAAGGATCAATGCAGGGCTCTTTAATAAGTCATGTTTTCAGCTATGCCAGTTCTAAAAATGATAGTTGCTGCTTGGAGCAAAAATATGCTGCTGCGTTCTGAGCCGAAATTTGTGAAATTGTATTTGCAAGGTTGTTAGTGCACCTGCAAGTAATGAGATGAACAGCAGAAGAATTAGAGATTCACAGGGAACGAACATAAGCCATAAACACTTTCACGTTTAGAAAGTCAACTAGTCGAGAGAAGATAAGAATATTCAGTCAGACTCAGCGTGGCAACCTCCCCACGAGTATAAATTTGAAACAAGTTTCACACTAGTCAGATGGTGCAAAAGGCAGGATTAAGACATTGCAAAAGTATTGAAGACTAAATTTAAATAGATAAATGTGATCCCTCTCTAATAGCTTAACCTCTTCATGAGTAGCTTTAACATGGTACTAGAAGCATGCATAGCTCTTGATTTCAAGTTTCAACACCACTAATTAATGAAAACTGCATGCATCAGGCCTTGAAGACTACATTAAAATAAATAAATGATTCATTCTAACGACATGAGCTTTTAGAAGGGGGGATTCAACTCTAGTTATTGCCAAAAAAATATGAACATGTTAAGAAAAAGTGAAAAATGGAAAACTACTATAAACATGGCTAAAATGTTTTTTCGGTCATGTGTACTAAAAAGAACAAATATAAATGGAATATTTTTGCCACTGGATGGCTAATTATTGTGGCTTCATTAAGAGTAATTAAGAATTCTTCCATATAGTATTCGGAAAATTAAATTCTAAGACCTGGCAGGGTCCATTTGCCAGGGAAAAAGGAATCATAGCTTACCTAAAATCCTGGAACTCTAGGAAATGCTATAAAACATGATTTGAGAAATGTGCGTTAGCCTGCAAATATCAGTGAATGTCTGTTAAAACTCAAATGTGCAGGAATAAATTTACTTGAAACAGAAGACAAAGTAGCTACAAAAAAATAGTTTCTCAAACATGCAAATCAATATTTTAATTAGGTCATCATATCCTAAACGTAACCTAATGCAGGAATTTAAAAGCTTTTGAAGAACAATTATCATTATACTCAGGTTAAATTATCCAAAAAAAAAAAAAAATGACAACTGTACTTCAGATCAAAGAGACATGACACGTCTGGGAATTATTTTAACAGGGATAAACTTCTGGCATGCCAATTTCAACCTTGTTGGGATCTTCCTAGATCTTCAAGAGGAAGCAGGTGATGACATCATGACATGGTGTTGCATAAATCTACCTTTAAACACGATTGTGACACTAATTAGCATTAACTCATCAGCAGAATCTTGACCCTTTTATTGTGTAAGTTGCACACCATATGACACAGAAGACAAGGAAACATCAGAGTACTAACATAGCCACAAGGATTTTATACACAGAAAAAAGTTAAAATACAGCTCCAAGGAAAAAACATGAAGCACCAACAAGTTTTCACAAGACAGAAACTAAGAAATACGTTATTTTCTGTTTCATGGGCTTTATTGAATATCATTAATGAAGAGAAAAGAAGCAAATGCTGAACACAAGATTTTAGCTTTTTTATTTTTATCTCTCAATACTGTCTAGTCCGTCCATTCCATTTTACCAAACATGCCATAAAAGTATAGGACTCATGCAATGAACTGCAATCTTATGGATGAGGCAGTATTGCACAGAGAAATAATGAAGAAATGTCCTTCAATTTTAAAAATCCACCAAGCATCGAAATTGTCCATTGCGTTTTAAATGTTCCATTGTGAGCAAGAAATGAGGTCCTCACTATGCATCAGGCAGGAACACTGTCCCTATTCAAGCTATCCATACTTTAGACATGAGTTGAACTACTGTTACTCATATTCAGAGGGAACTCATATTCAGAAGGAAACATTATAGTAAACAAATCTTTCATGCCTAGACATTCTAATTAAAAGAATGAATATGCAGCTACAATAAAATCAGCTATAATTCAGGTGAAGAGAAAAAATTCATCGATCAGAAGATATATCTCACTTTTGCATGGCAAATCTTGGTAATAGCCTCTACATGAAAGTTTTGCAGCTCTTCAAGAGTATTAGTATCCAAACCACAAACATCGTCACCCTGAAAAGGAGGGAAAATTTATTAAAATGTTCACAAATTTTCTGGATGTAAATTTGCAAGCACATGCATTGTCGAGCATTATCAATTGATCCTACATTAAAAACATATTTGAACGGTTAATCCAAACCATTTCCTTTGTAACATAACATCAATAAAAATTTTCCTTCATATTAATATCTCTAGATTTTGGCTCTGTAGTCAATCTGAAAAAGGAAATGAAAGAAACGGCATCCCTCTCTTTGGGGCAGGAATGCAGAAATGGAACCAGTTCCATTTCATCGATCATAAACAGTTCAACAGTCTATATGGAAAAAAAGGCCTTTGTGCCATATGAAAGGAGTGGAAAAAGAGAAAGGGGAAGGGGGACAGGGAGCAAAAAGGGCAAGAGATACTCATAAACGTGGTGAAGAATCAATTCATACAAGTTTGAAGGTGACTAATAAAATTTTGAGGCATGTGCATCTTATATAAATCATAATTTGCATGCTTAAATCAGTTCTTACGAAAGATTAATCAAATTATTACGGCAATCTTTGTCACTTACTCTATTCAGCTTAGCACAATAGCAAGTGCTTACCTTTAATCTCAAAACTAAATTTTCAAGCTCTTTACATCTCCTCTCCAAATTATAGCGAGCTTCTAACTCCTCAAATGAACTTGGTTCTTCTACATTTTCATTTGCCTCATTCTCGTGAAACTTTGTTATCAACTTTCCATCAGATGACAAAAATCCGTTAGTAATTTTTTTCTTCAAAACATTAGAAGCAATGACCCCATTAAATGAAGCTTCCTCAATACTAGTGCCAGATTTGCGCATATTCGCAACCAAAACCCACATGTTTGCAAGCTCATTTTCTAAATTCTCTTCCCGTCTCTTTGCTTCATCAAGTTTCTTTCGCAGTTCAACTTCTATTTTATCTCTTTCAGACAATGCGTTGACCAAAGAGGCCTCTCTTTGGTATCGTGCATTTCGTTCTTGCTGAAGCTCCTCCATGGACAAACTGTCCTCTGGCTTTCTCAATCGTGCATCAGATCGACCATTTATTTTAGCTTGCTTCATATCGATTGAAACTGACCTCTGACAGCAATTTGCTTTACAGAGGACGTCTTTCGAAGCCACCTCAGCAGTGAGTTTTGCATTTTGGTATGAAAGCTTTGTTACCTCTTCTGCCAAACTCCGAAGCTCAACTGCTGCTGCTGCTGCAAGCTCTTTTGCATAAGAAGCTTCCTCAGCTAGCTTTTGGCTGTGGACTTCTAGTCCATCCTTCTCTTCCACAAGTTTTGCCTTCTCTTGCTTCAATGATTCTATCTCGGAAGCCTAAGCAACAGAAGAAATGGGTAATAATATAATGTTAAATGAAAATATCACCTGAATAGCAAGATGAGGCTAGAAGTAAATTGTCAGTCCCATAGTTAGACAACAAAGGCCCCTCAGAGCCTAATCAGCACCTACCTGCAAAAGAAGCTGAGAATTCAAAAATGCATCACTATTGCAGTCTTTGGCCTCCTCAGTGTTGAATATCCTATTTAAGCTCATGACACCAGTTGGTGCATTTTCTTCGAGAGATGTTTCTTCACACGAATTAATCTCATCCCTCCTTCCACTTTTCTTGATTAAAGATTCTCTAGAGCAGCTTGGAGATGTGTTCCAATCATTACCAATCCTTTGAGGTGCACTTGAACTTTTATCCAATTGCAAGGAATCAAGCTGCTGCCTTAGCAAAAAGATGGTTTCTTGCATCTCAGCATTTTCCAACGTCTAATTGCACATAAAACTACATCAATTAATAAGGTAATAGTATGAGGAATGAACTAAACCAATAACCGAATTTACCTTCGCTTGTAGTTGCTCCTGAAGGACCCTGTTATCTGCTGATTTAATCTTTGTCAACCATGACATGAGAAATTTGTCCAAGTTAGTCGATACATTTTCCAATTCATGTCAATTTGTTAAACACAGACAACTACAATAACTTCAGCTTACTTCAAGTTCAAAAGTTTTCTCATTTAGTTGAGTAGCTAGGCTAGACAGAGCCTGCACAACCAGGAACGTGAAAAATGCCCCGTTAAATATGAAGTTCTTAATATAAATAATGAAGAAATTAAATAATGGCAAGTTAGAACAAAAAAATTCGAATGAATAAAATTTGTCCCCAGAACAGCAAGTCCCCAAATGAATCTGGTATGCACGCGAGGAGATGAACTGCAGACAATATTTTGTATATCTATATCATTTTAACAAAATTCACCTCAGAAATCTCAGTATTGCTTGAACCATGTGGAGATATCTCTACTGATCCAAGCATACGTTGTTCCAGAGCACGCATTTGAAGCTTCTTTTCTCTTATTTCATCCTTCAGCTTTCGCATGTTTTCCTAGATCAATGACCATGGCAAAAACAAAGATCACCATCAATCAAATATATGGACTTCGTAAATTAAAAAAAAAAAAAAGATCCTCCATATACATTTTGAATGTATATTTGGCATAGATATTTAAGACTAAACAAATTGGTATGCATAATTTTCCACTTTATTCTCAACCTAAAACCCAGGTGGACCATGTACGGCATATAGGAACAAGAGCACAGGCCATCTTGCACTAATTTTCAAGACATTTGATCTATCTCAAATCATGTAATTTCAACATATATATCATATTGGACAATAATGAATATTTTCATAAAATAATGACTTTTTGCAGCATACTCGTGTGTATATGTATTCATAATAAAGCCAGAAAAAATAACTAACCAGAAGTTGTCGGTCTTCGGGATTCTTAGTTGCTTGCTCTGATAATCGTTTCAGAGAACTAGTGCATAACGCCATCTCTCCAGCTAACATTTTTATTTGCTCGCGGAGAAGATCCATTTGATCTGTGATGGTGGTCCCAGTCTAAAAGACATTTATATTTTTTAAGTTAAGCTAATAACTCAAGGAAACATGGCAAAATCGATTATTGGTGAAAATGGTTGACAGGCTGTTAAATGCAGAAGGAAATTTCCTCCAGCTAGAAAAACAGGAGTCCCAAGTAAAAAGCAAACCGCTTAAAAAAAATTACAAAAAAATATAGACACGGGTGTTCACATCTAATGGATGAGTACATAAACAAGAATATACAGGGGTAATACTATAATTTCAATCAAATAAATTACAGCATACAACCTGAAAGGTTTTTCAAACAAGATAAGCTGAAGCAACTCACTGTTGGGAGACGCCGCCCATTAAAAGCTGCACTGAACAAATCACCAGCTTGAGTTCTTTCACGAAGAAAATCAACACTAGCACCATCATCGACTCTTCTACTGATTGATTTCCTCTGTCCGTCTTTCATATCACTAAATGTAACTCTACTTTGGGATGATTTTGATGAGGATGCAGGTGAATCATTAGCAGAGAACTCATAATCGGCAGTTGGTGATGAGCCGACAAGATTATCGGGCTTCTGTGCCAAAAAAGTTAGATATTGTCATCATAGAGACAAAATAATCATAACTTTAACATTGTGTTGTGTCATGACATCTGTCAACACAAAAAAATAAATTTACATAGCATGCGGGAAGAGCGGAAACAAAATCTTACACATCGTACCGATACAAACATTACGACTATGACTTGTTTGTCTTGAAATTACATTTCATAAATTAACTGAAAGACATTCATCAAATGCTTTTCCCTTTGGGTAATGATTATGCATGGTTTCTATTTGGTTTGCATAATGTTTGGTTCTTTCCATGTATAAACAAATATACACACAAAAAGAACTAATAAAGACAAAATGGATCAATAGCTACCATACAAAATTAATAATTGAAAATAAATAAATTGAGAAGAAAAGAATAACTAGTGTAAATGGTTGAAGAAAAAATTACTTTTGTAAATGCATTACATATATTTTATCTACTAACCACGTGTCAAGTAACAACTTCGTTATTTTCATCCCTCCCAAGTTAATTTAGAATTAATAATCCATAACACCATACAGAAGGTTTGACTCAATAATGTCAATCTTCTATAACCAGAAACATATAATCAATGCCCAAAAAAATCTTGAATTCAAATAAACTGAAGTTCATTCAATAATTATTTTGTTGTTCAAAGGAAAAGAGCATTTAAGAAAGACGATTTCAAATATTGGACTTGGATTTCAATTCACACATTTAACATTACTTTGGAAAATGAAGCACAGTTTCAGTACCTAACCAAGAAATTAGAGCATGGGAATGGCCAATATGGGGCAATGAAAAATGCATTGCACCACTTGAGAAAACAGTCCAATGGCAAGATTATAGATGAGAAGAAGACATTCTTTTTTTTTTTTGATAGGTAATCACGCAATTTTATAAATAAAATCAGAAGATAATACACAAGGAGTGCATTATCAGTTTAAACAAGAAAGAAACGATAAAAAATTCGGCAACCCTTCTATCGGACTAATGGTTACAGCCTTAAACCAACTATACAAAGTCAAATAAAACAATTCCCTAAATTGCTCTGTCGT